CAGCACCCCCGCCTGTGGCAGTGGTGCCTCCCCCTGAAGCAGAGCACCTTAGCTGGTCCCGCACGTTATCCCTCCCCCTTCCTCCTCTGCCATGCTTTTGAGAAGACATGAGGCCTTTTTTTCCTGCTCTCGCCCCCTCCGCCGCCTTACTACTGGCTCCTGTAGCCTCATGGCTCCTCAAAAGCACGGCAGAGGAGGAAGGGGGAAGGATAATGTGGGGACCAGCTAAGGTGCTCTGCTTCAGGGGGAGGCACCACTGCCACAGGCGGGGGTGCTGACGGGAGCTTTGGCTGCTTCATCTCAGCCGTGGCATCGGATGGCAAATCCAGTGCTGTTAGAGGAGGAGGAGGAGGAGGCAGCAGATATTCTGGTGGCGGCAGGGGCTTTGGGGGGGGGGGTTATTTCAGCCACAGCACTGGGCGCAAGCGGCTAGGATTGGCCACCCACAAACGACCTCCCCGGGCTTGCTTTGCTGAACACAGGGGCGACAGATGCTAGTTTGAGCAGCCTTGGCTGGCACAAACTACCGTCAGTCGCTCCGTGCTCATCAAAACAAGTCTGGGGAGGTCCTTTGCGGGTGGCCAGTTCTAGCTGCCTGCAAAGGACTTCCCCACATTTGCTTTGACAGAAATCACTGTGCAGCAGTTAGAAACTGCTGCGCGGGGTTTTCTTGCCACGTGCGCGGCCCCGCAGCCGCGCACCTTAGAGGGAACAGGGAAGGAGAGAGAATTAAGACATCAGTCACCAACTCTGGCCCTAGAAATGTGTTACCCAATCCACATAGCCCACATCAGATAGAGCAGTGATGGAGAACCTTTTCCGCACCGAGTGCTGAAAAGGGAGCATACGTGCTCGTCAGGGCCACAACTCGGAAGAAGAGCTGCCCAGCCAGCTAGTCTTCAGTTTCCTGGCCCGCATGCGCGCATGATGACCAGTTGGCTGTCGCACATGCTTATGCCAAAAAACGGAAGACTTGCTCTTCCAGTTTCTGGCACTGCTGCACGCATGATGGCCAGCTGATATCGCACACACATGCACACCAGAAGCCTGGAAGAGGAACGGTTGATGCCACGTGTGTCAGGCAACATGGCTCTGTGTATCACTTTGGACATGCGTGCCATAGGTTCACCATCACAGAGATAGAGCATGCAAGTTGTAACTATTTCAAACCTTTTGAAATGCCTAAAAACTATTGATTTTTTTACATAATAATTTCAATCTCACTAAATTTGTAAGCAGAATGCTCCCAGATAATGAAAGAGTTAGGAGATATGGATGCAGATGTACAAGAATAAGTCACCTTATCTGCTTCCTTGGAAAAGTAAGTACTCAAAGCAATGATTGCCAAGTAATAATGATTTAAAGGAGATTTTTCACTGACTACAAGTGGTAGTTTTGGCAATTTCTCATTACTTTTGAAGATGCTCAAGATTCAGTTAGGACTCCACTTTCTTGATATGTCTTCCAGTAAACCATATAAAGACCATTAAAATAATGTCTGCTGTTCTGTACTTTGCTTAAATAGCCAATTAATTCTTTCTCTTAGGCTTTTTTTCTTCTTATTGGTTTAATTGTAGGATTTAAATATTTCAACTGCATGTATATTTTTAAATTAAAGCTCAAGGCTGAGCTTTTGGATTAATTAAACTGAGATATCATGCAATGCAGTACCAATGAACATTCCTGAAAAATAGAACGCTATAACTTCTATGCTTTGTTTTCATAGAAGTGTGTGAAGTTCAGACTACTCAGTACTTGGGCTCCCTTCTATGAATTGCTTACACCACTCTGTATATTGGCTGGAATTATTTTCAGTTACCTTATTATTTTTAAACAAAGGCAAGCTAAACCAAGGTTTGTTAAATAAGTCATAATGTCCTAGCTTGCGCATAATACTAAGCTGTAATAAGTGAATTTATGTGTCCTACTAAATCATATTCCTCAACAAATTGGATTATGTCTTATTGTAATACAGGAGCCTATCCTATATGGTTAAGTTATCACATTATAAATATGCACAGCTGAACTGGCCTCATCTATGCAGTGGTTAATGTACTGGAACAGAAACTGTGAGACCATGAGTTCCAGCCTCCCCTTAGGCACGAAAGCCCACCTCACTATTTTGCCTTGAATTGTATAAAATAAAGATGGTGTATATTCCTATTAATAGTAATAATAAGTAATTGTAATCAGAAATGGCAGCTGCTTTGCCCCAGTTCACAGATATGTGCCTGTAAAATGCCTTGCTCGTTGTTCCCAGAAGTAGGTTGTTGCTTTCAGATGTATTAGAGAATGCTGTCCCATTGCCAGTTCTGGTTGTCAATCACACTGAACCGCCAATCATCCCATTTTGCAGAATGGGAGGTGCACCATGATCTGTTTCTCAGGCAGAAAATTATGTGGGACTAGCTTTGTGACATTATGTTATCAGCTTGATTTTATGAAGGCCTGTCTACCAACGATACACCAACCTACACAGAATTTATCAGCTTGCAACTTAAAAGAATGAATCCCACAGAAAAAGAGGATATGGCATAGTTTCTCCCTCATTCTTCTCGCCTGTTCTGCAGAATGGAAACAAAATTCCATATGTGCAAGCCAGATAGAGGAAAGTGGCATTTAAACAGTCTGTCATATACAATCTTTGAGGAACTGGAGACTTTGTTTTTATCAGAAGGGTCTGACCATTAAATGGGTCAGGTTGAGCCTTACCTGCAGCCATAACTTGTTCTTCACTGCATCCCTTCCTGTAGCAATGCACTGAAATGTTGCATTCTGACCTGCATTGACCTCTACATCCCCCAGCCTCAAGAAATGAGGAGATTTATCTGCAGAGATAGGGAAAGCAGAAAGTTACCAAAGGCTACTCTCAGTCACATTTTTTAAAAAAATCCCCCAAAGATACACAGAAATAGTTACCAGAGTTACCAAAGTGTATTTTCAGTCACATTTTTACAAACCCCCCCCCCCAATGATACACATGGAGTCTTTAGGGGAAAAGAAATTCATACATGGAAGAAAAAAATGTTTTAGCTCAGTAAGAAGAATGGCCAAATAGGATGCGAAGAAATTGCAAACCTGAATGTGAATTTCAATAATATTCAATGTGAAAACTACTGCATTAATAACACAAAGGATCAGATTTAATTAGCTATATATTATGGTATGTTGGGGGGATGTGGAGTCCTGTCAGTAAATATTATCTGCATTGCAGACATAGCATTGTTTGAAACAGTGACAAACCTTTTTATACTTTCTGCATTGCCTCAGGGAAAGCTCTAGGACAAAACTCTGTTTATGAAAAAAAATGGGTTGAAAAAGGCACTGACAGAAGATAAGGTATTATTATTAAAACAGTGTTTCTCAACCTCAGTGTTTCTCAACTTCAATCTTAAGGTGGGTATACTTCAACTCCCAGAATTCCACAGTCAGTCCACATATCTATAGTTACTGAGGTTGAAAAATACTGCATTAAGGTAAAGACTCTCTCAGGTGGAGTCCAGCTTCTTGTGACTACATGGAGATACCCACATAGAGGTTTTGTTTTTTGTTTGTTTTTGTTCCAAAACGCAGGTGCAATTTGTCATGATCTTCTTCCAAGTTTCTGAGGGAGAGGTGTCTGTTTTTATATTCCGATCTAGACTGTAAGTTTGAGATTTCATATCCTACTCCTAAATTACTAAGGATTAGGGATAAGAAATATTGACATTATGTTTAGTTTAGTTTCCACAAACTCTGTTTCACTTGTTATTGCACTCTTCCAGAGCATGCACTGATTATAAGTAAGTATAATCTTTATTGTCATTGTACTTAAATGCAACGAAATTGGTTATAATGAATTTCTTCAAGTCTGTCTGTGAGGCATCTTGGGAACTTCAAACAATTAAAATGTACAAACATCCAAAGGATGTTAGGTCCTAGAAGGACATTTCTCCAGAATTTTAGCTCCATTAATACCTTGCTAATTTTGTTTAATAAAGAAATTGGTCTATAATTCTTGATTTGTGTTGAATGAGTCTCTTCCTTGGGTAGTAATGTGATATACGCTTCTGACCATGACTCAGACTACAAGCTATTTGCATCGATACTAGCTGAGAGACTTAAAAAATACTTAAATGGCTTCATTCATTCAGATCAAAATGGCTTTTTACCTAAAAGACAAATCAAAGACAATATGAGAATAATTTCTTTATTAA